TTTTGTATGGGTGCCTGTCCTTATTTCTCCCCATCTTCCTCTGTGCTTCTGTTTATAAATGTTCAGATCAGCTGACCTGAAAACTGATTTTTCAAGATGCATACTCTGAAGTTTATCTGCAAGTCCAATCCAGGTCTGGGAGTAAGTTGATGGAGAGTCTAGAGACTTTGCAGCAGTATTGGAACCACTCCTTGTATAAAATTTGTTGTACAGCTAAAGAATTTTGTTGCAAATATTTCTCATGGAAACATTACAAATATTTCCTGTTCCATTAGTTTCAATGACATGAAATGTGTCTTTCTGAGAAAAATGTGAGGTATCCATAATGTGGCTTACTTGAGAACAATAGTTGATAAATACAATTATAATAAATGAAATTATAATAAATACAATTGCAACACATATAAATAAATTATAATAAACCAAAACTGTAAGTTTTATATATTAGTCAATAGAGAGGTAATCATTAAATGTATAATGAGTGTTAAGGATGCTAAAAATTTATAAAGGAAAATTTGGCAAAAGATATCCCACAACACAATCCCAGAGAATAATGGAAAATGGTTGTCTCCTTTATGTTTATATCACTGACATCTGGGGGGAAAATATGGCAACATTCAAATGAATGTATTGTTCATTTGAGGGTTTTACATCACAGCTTCTGATCTTTAGTTTCCATGAAGTTTAATTCAATTTTACTTTGCCTCTCTCATCCTATGACCATACCTTGGACTTAATTATCAGCCAAAGTGTTTTCTGTTATTAATGTCTAATAGACCATTTTCTGATTACAGATATTTATCTCCTCAATTCCCTGATTTTCTGATTCACACTAGATTTGTTCCACTTTATTATAGCTGTGTCTCACTAAATCCCTCCATTTCTCCAGATCTCTCAGCTACTCCTGACTTTATCTGTAAGATGGTGCAAAAGTAGGTTTACAGTTGTGAGTACATGAAACACAGAGTTTATTTTTGTATTATTATTTATTGATTATTATATTATCTTCCATCAAAAGAACTATAAACCCACTTTTTCCCCACCATGTATATCTAGTTCCAATCTATCCATATAACCTATCATTTAAAGCATCTCCCCACAGAAGCAGTAAAAGTATATTTTCAGAACAATTTTTAAAGTCTTATAAACATGTCATAATAAATTTTTGAGCCAAATTTATCTTTCTCTTGTCAGTCAGAAAACTAGCAAAAAAATCTACAAATAACCCAATTTCATTAGTTCAGCAATTAAAAATCTCTGTAATATTGGGTTCTGCATGTGTTCAATTTTTGCTAACTCTGTGTAGTCACCTTATGCTAGGAATCCCTATTTATTAAACCTTTCTGAACCATCTCCCATCACCGGACCGCAACCAAGATGGAAATTTTATTTACAATTGTTTAACCCTTGGATTCTATCACCTTCTGATATTAAACACCATTCATGTGCTCTTGATACCAACAACTTTGTGCTCTGCTCATTACTTGTTAAATGCATGTTTATAAAAGTGATAAAAGTGAAGGTCGATGACTATAATAGATTAATATATTATTTCTCCAGTAAACAATAGTTATAGTATTAGCTACACTTATGGTGGACTTTTTATGAGCCAAACAATTTACATTTGTCAATTATTTTATTTTCCTAGTAGGTGAATACTATTATTATACTCATTTCACAGAAGTACTGACTCTATACCCTTGCTTATTTCCCTTAGGGTCCCTGGGCATCAAGAAAAGATGATGTAGTTGCCTCGATAATTGCTCCTCAGGGGACCCAAGTGCCTTTCCATTCCTGAACTCTCCATAGCTAATCAGCTTACAAAGAAGGAAGAAGGATTCCAGCCCCAAGACTAGGGAGATGTTAATGTCAATGGGCAGAGACTTGCTGAAGTGAGCTTCTCTTTTCCCACTTGACATTGAGAGTTCAGCTCTGCTTGTGGTGAGTGTCTAGGGCCATAATTTCCCAGCCCTGACTTCTGAAGCAGCTTTCAGAAGGAGTCCTAACTCTACCCCATAATCAGCCTTCTAGGCTTTTCCCTCTTCAGTAGCCAGCTCCCTAGTTTCTTGAAACTGTGTGATAGAATGAGAAGAAGTCATGGGAAGTTTAAAAACTTGACAGCAAGTGAAGAATGAAAGGGCAATATCAAACAATGTCATGGTTTCCAGAAATAGTTTTGCCATTGTAATATTTTAGGTGAGTTAAACAAGGAAGACATCATCTTTGTATCCTTGTTTCCCTCAGAAATGTGGTTTGAGTATCAGTGAGGCAATGATAAGGAAAGATCACATTAACAGAAATTTTAGGATAATCTGTCTTTAATCAATCTCTTCTGAGAATGCCTGAGAGAAGGGACAGAAGAAGTGGGGATACTAATATTCACTTGTTCCTCACAGCTCACATGAAATAGTCAGACCTACTCTCTGAGGTAGGTAATAGCATCTCTGTCTTTAAAAATCAAGAAACAGAGCTTCATGAAAGCTTAAGTAGGTAAAGTTATACTGTACAGAACATTCACCTTCAATTCCTTTTACATCCCTGTACCAAGGATTGTAGTATGCATCTCACCACACTCTCTTCTTACTGAATATTTATTGTATGTCCTAGTACAGTGGGCTGTAGACTAAATGATTTATTTTAACTCCTCCCAATCTGAAATGCTCTTGTTATACAAATACTAAATTCAAGAGGGATTATTGCCTTCTAAGATCTTTTTGAAGAAGACCTTATCCCTGTTTGACTGTGAAGACTCTGAAGTTATAGAAGTGGAAGGATACAATAAAGCAAAAAAGATAGGAAAATAAAAAAGAAAACCAAAAAGTATGTAGAGGCAGAGAAGACAGCTGATAACAAAGGAGGGAAGACCTCAGGTTCAAGCATCCATCAAGATGTGTCCCTTCTACTTTCAGGTTATATAGATGGTATAGGCAAGAAATAGGGTGCACAGGGTCAAGCTGGCAGTGAAGCCACATGCAGAAATAACAGCTGTTCAACTCCAAGCAAACCAATTCATGGTCTATTTAAAGAGTTAAGAGAGAGATGCTGGGCTTTTGGATAGAGAACACAGGAAAGACATAACACTCAGGGAAGAGAGGTGTCCCTCAAATCCCTCAGCCATGAGAAGTTCTGACATGTGATTATTTCTAGAGGTCAAAATTTGTCCCTGAATTTTCATACCCTAAGTCTGAGCACAGCCCATAACACAATTTTCTCTAAGCTAGTATTTGCTGAGATAAATTGCATCAGGTCATGAGAGGTGCAGGTAATTAACTTTTAAAAAAATTTTTTCTCTCATATTTTCATGAAAGTTAAAGTTATGAAAAATCTATAATTTTAAAGTCCTGGCAAATCAACCATTTTATTTTCTCCATGTTGTCTTTTATTTCTTGTCACCATGGGTTCTTATACACATACTGACACGGTAATTTTTCTGCATCATATTACAACCATCTTCTCCACTTTGCCTAGAAAAATTCTACTAATTAATTGAATGTTGGCTGAAATATTACTTTCTGAAGAAAGCTTTTCATGAATTTTAAAAATTAACTAGGTTTTCCCCTCTAGGAACTACCTATTGTATTCTGAACTTCTCTCTTGTAGCACTTAATTATAACAAGCTTAGAAAGACTTCAGGGTATGTGATGACTGTATTTGAATATTTGTGGAATATGTGTTCTTTGACTTGAGTTAAAAGTTTAAAAGAAGATTTTCTGAGTAGGACCAGTATTCTGTGTTGTCAAGATCCTGTATGGCACATGGCATAAAGGAGTGCTGACTGGTTACAGATGTGCAGAGCAAATAACTTAATAATCAACATATGATAGTAAGGTCCCTATAAGTCCAGCTGCAGCTGAATGCAGAGTTCACATCAGGGAAGATGCAGACAGGATTTCAGCAAATATGGAAAAATGCATGTGCAGATATGTGAGCCAAAAAATGTACATGTGCAAATATGTGAGCAGATATGCATATGGGGTAGGATGAGTGAGATGAAAAATACCTTCAGAGATCCTTTTTACTCTGTGGGTTCAGGATTCTACTGTTATTCTTGTGCAGGCCCAGAAAGTACTCAGTTTACAACACACCCAATTTTGGGAGGTGGTTTTTTCTCCCCTCTCTTTCCTTCTTCTGCCCAGGAGAATGTTTCTTGAAAGTCCATTCCCAGTATTATTGTTTCAGTGTATTAAGAGGTATGTCTAAGCCAGAAAAAAATCCCAACAGGTAAGGAAGGTTGTCTTTGAGAACTGTGAGTGAAGATATTTGGATATCATCATGACAGAGAACTTTCATGAGCCTTAAAGTCTATGTACAAATCCACCAAACTTGATTCCTATCTCCTCCTGATTCTATCCTTTACATGTAATCTTTCCAGTCACTTCCTAGTCATTTTCAAGACCCAGAACAGCTGAAATCCATGTGAATCCAATCTCCATTCTCTTCTACTTTAATTTTCCAGTCACTTACTCCAGGCTCTGGGCACCACCACTTCTCAGTTTTGCTTTAGACTTCAAGGATATCTGTATTTATTTATCAAGTAGTTAGCTGGCTTTTATATACTATGCTTTTGATTTATATCTATATATTTATCAGTAATATCTCTGTTCACCTATTCCTGATATTAGTCCATATCTTACGCTGAAATTGCCTCTATATGACAGTCTCCCCAGCGGCCTTCTAGAGTCAGGCATATTCACACCAAGACAAGGCAGTCATTTCACCCTTAGCAGATCTAAGGAGAACTATGACTTAAAGGGATAATTTTCTACCAGTCATGAACTTCTCTCTGATGGAGACTGCAACCCCCGTTAGTAGTGGGAATTTCATGATAGTGGTCACCTGTCAGTTTTCAGGTATGAGACATTTGGCTACCTGTATCCATGAGGTTTGTTTTCTTCTTCCCTTTCCTCGGTGTCCTGGTGTCTTTCTCCATTGTAATGTTATCTCACTAGTTTGTTTCTAATTTTCAAGGTAGCACTGACCCCACGGAATGAGATTTCAACATGAAGAACTCCAATAGCTCTCTGGAGTTCTTACCTACAACATTCATTCTGGTTGGTATCCCAGGGCTGGAGGCAGAGCACATCTGGATGTCCATCCCCTTTGGCCTGATGTACATTATCATCTTCCTTGGGAATGGCACCATTCTTCATGTCATCAGAATGAACTCTGCTCTACACCAGCCCATGTACCTCTTTCTTGCCATGTTGGCACTGGCTGAGATTGGTGTCTCTGCATCCACTCTGCCTACAGTGCTAGGCATCTTCCTTTTTGGCACCACTGAGATTAGCTTTGATGAATGTCTTCTCCAGATGTTCTGCATTCATTCTTTCTCCATTATGGAGTCAGCTGTGTTGCTGGCCATGTCTGTCGATCGATTTGTGGCTATCTACAGCCCACTGCGCTATACAGCCATCCTAACCCTGCCCCGAATCTTTGGCACAGGAGTCGTCATTGGGCTGAAAAGCATTATGTTCATGGCCCCATTGCCCATGCTCTTACAGCGCCTGCCCTTCTGTGGCCATAATGTCCTCTCCCATTCTTATTGCCTTCACCCCAACCTCATCCATCTACCTTGTGGGGACACTTCTATCAATAATATCTATGGGCTTTTCATTGTTATCAGCACTTTTGGGCTGGATTCACTGCTCATTGTGGTCTCCTATGGACTTATACTTCACACAGTACTGAATATTGCCACTGGGGAGGAGCGTAAGAAGGCACTCAACACATGTGGCTCACATATCTGTGCTGTGCTGGCTTATTATGTACCTATGATTGGCTTATCAATGGTGCACCGTTTTGGACACCATGTGTCCCCTTTGCTGCATTCTCTGATGGCCAATGCTTACCTATTCTTCCCACCCCTTGTCAACCCCATTGTGTATAGTATTAAGACCAAGGAAATTCGTCGTGGCATTGTCCAAATGCTGTCAGAGAAGAGATCCAGAGTTTAGATGAAGTGCAAAGTAGGAAGGGACTTTTTTTCTATAATCACAAGTGGTTCTAGATAGCACATTATGAAAATGGTGTTACCTTAAAATACAGTATCTGACAGGAGGCTCTCCATAATCTAGCCAGGAACCAGTTTCACTCCAGAGTGGGAGTGAAAATGAGGTTGGGTTATGTTTAACAGAACAGAACAATATAAAGAATTGGTGGTATTTTAAAACATGTTTGACAAGAAGTTTTCTATTACCTTGCATAGCTGGAGCAGGAATGAAAGAAAGATTGGTTATGAAAATACAGAACTTCCCGTAAAGAAAATGTACTCAGGAGCTTGAAGGTGTTCTGGGACTCTGTTGATCCCTATGTTAGAGAAAAGAAATTGAAATGGATTACCTTCTCTTGAGTTGTTGGTATAAACTCAATGGCAGTAGAGCACACTAGATCACTCAAAGAAGGCTTCCAATACTGGCTCCAATATGATATTCACCCATCTTTACCAAGGTCCTAAACTGAGAGTCCCAAAGATTATAAATTTTGCTCATTATGCAATATTTTGAAAGTCTCCCATCCAGGATGCAGAATCTTTCAAAAGAGCAAGAATCCCTTTGTGGACATTAACATTTTCTGTCTAATTAGATATTTCTTTGCAGACATTCGAAATAATATTTAAAAATTTACATCTGTACTTTCAGGGAAAAGACCTAAGACTTTTGAGATGCAAAGGTACACTAGGCACTTCATTTCAGCCACTGCTCACAACAATCCTATGAAGTAGGATTAATGCAATTATTATTATTGTTTTTCAGATGAAAAGCAGTTGTTTAGAAATAGTAATCAACTTGCTCAAATCTATACATCTAAGAGCTTGCTTTGGAATCTAGTTGAGTCAAACTCCAGAGTCTAAGTTATTAACCTCTAAACTGTGCTGTCAATTGAGCAAGAACTGCAGCTTTCAGGATCCTTTTTACTAGTTAGTCAAGTAGCATTAATTGAGAATGCTGAGTGTGTCAGGTACACATCTAGGCCCTAGAGATAAAATGGTGACCAAAGAGACCAGGTGCCTTTCTTTCCTCATGAAGTTAAGAAATAATTTTTCCAGCTCCATTTTTTTAATCTTTATCACTTTATTTTCCTGAAGTCCAGTTTCAAAGACATCTCAGGATCTGACAAAATCCTAGAAAATCACACAATGAGGTTTCTAGAAGTCTCTGGTTATCTATAAAGTTCAATAATGAGCAGAACCCAATATGACTCAATAGAAAAATATCAAGCTTGATTCCATCTTTTCCTGCCATTATATTTACTATCCTAACTTAAAGTTTAGACATTTTGAAACTGCCTTGATCCTTTATTTCTTCAACAGGGTAAATTTATAAATAATTTAATTCAGATAGTTATGAAGCTAAGTTATAAATTAGAACATGAGAAAAAATCATGAAATGTTACAGGCATTTCCACATGCACTGGAATGTTAGTTTATTTCAGACTAACCCACCTACCAAGAACAATTAGAAAAGTTAGAGAAGTATTTTGTAAATGCAGAACATCCAGTGCAATGAGAATATAAAGGTTCCAAAGACAAGAGAAACAGAAAAGTGAATGTTTTATTTTGTGCTATTTTCCCACTTTAGGAATTTGTTGATTTAAAGGCAATAGCTGATAAAATGAGAAGAGCTCACGCAGTGTGAAAGGGCTGGAGTGCAGAGAAACAAAAATGAAACACTAAGACCCTCCTGCACCAGGGGGACCAGTAAATTCCTAGGTATTTACTTGGATTCCAGAAAATTTACACCTTGAAGTGAGAGAAAAGTAGAAATAGTCTTATCCTAATATAGTTAGTTTAATGAACTCACTACCAAATTTTACTACTCTGTCTGTAAGCATTAAGCATTAAGGTGACTAACAATCTCATTTTTTTTCCAGGACTTTTCTCACTTTATCTCAGAAAGTACCACATCCTGGAAAACTCCTTAGCCACAAACTGAGGAGGTTGGTCACTTTAATCAGAAGTAAAATTGAATACTTTCATCAGAAAGATATTGATCAGCTTCTTAAATTATCCTTATAAATTTTATGACCTTCATTAAAGTATAATCAGAATTGTAAAATACAAGAAGTGAAGAAACCAAGAGGGGAAAAAAAGGGCAAAAGGTGCAGATCAATTAAATATCCTGTTATTGGAGTTAATATACCCAAACATTTAAAATAAGTTTGAGTAATTTTTCCTAGAACTTAAATTGCAAGATGTAGATTTTGAGCAACAAAGTAAAACTAATTAAAAATAAAATGGAAATTATAGAACTAAAAATAACTGAAATTAAAAGCTGAATGGGTAGGTTTAATCATATTAGACACAAATGAAGAAAGAATCAAAGTTTTGAAAAATAACTTGGAAAATAATCCAGACTATATAGATGTGAAAAGATAAAGTCCATGAAAAAATAAATTGGGACAACTGTAATAGAATAACAAAAAAATATGAAATAATAATAATAAAAACCATCATAGGTATCCACACTGTATTGGGTAGCTGTGAAAAAAGAATGAGTATTGTCTTTGTAGAATGACATGGGGTGATTTCTTATATGTACATATATAATCAGTGAGCTTTTGACTAAGGTTCATGACACTATGCCCAGTACCTTCCCATTTCCTTATGAGGAGATTTTGAGAGATAAAAAAGACACAACCTGAATCAGAGCTACAACCAGGGCACCCCTACTACAGCCTTGGCCAGTTTGCTGTCCAGGGCATGTCCCAAAACTCCTCCCATCCCTAGCATTGTCTGAAGTACAGCTTTCACTTTGTGGTGAAAGAAAGCAGCCAGTCTTCTAACTAGTGAGGAGCCAAGGTGGGGATCCTTGGAATGCAGTGCATCACATCTGTGCTCCTGTACAATACAGGTAAATTGGAATTTTTTCTTTTCTTTTTTTCTACTTTAAATTTGTTACTTTTAATTAGAGAATTAGTTAGCTCTGAAACCTAAGTTTATGAGTGTCATGGATCGCGCATTTACAGGAGGTTATCTGGTTGAAAAATAGGAATTCTTTTATTATGTAACAAGTTGAAAATCTTTGGATAATCTCCTGTTATTCAGAACAAGATAACACAACATTAGAGTATAGATTTTTTGTGAATTTTACCCACGGTAAAATCTGCATTATCATGAGATGTGAAAAAAATATAACATGTAATCAATTTTTTGGTTGTTTCATTCCTTTCTGTTTCTCTGTAAAATTGAAGTGTATGAATCTGGATTGGCTCAGCATATTTGAGAATGTAGAAGAAATTAAATCATAATAAGTTTAATAAAAAAGAAAAATCCTTAAAGGGCATGGTATTTGCTGGAAAGGTTAAATACATATCTAATTGGAGCCCCAGAAAGAGAATATCCTGGGGAAAAGTGATATTTGAATATAATAACCTAAATATTTTCCAAAACTGATATAAAGTATAAGCCAAATATTCAAGAAGCACAAGACACTACATGCAGTTTCAATTGTATTAAATTTACATTTGTTTATAAATATTGACAATTTAGACATCCACCGAGTTGAATTTCCCATTTGAATGCATATATTGAAAATATAAACATAAGTCACTATATTTTAATAATTCTGATAATTGTCTAAAGTCAACAATTATTTTTTTATTATTATATTTCTTTTTAGGAAAGTATTTACACATAAACAAGAAATTACCATATTTCACCTTGTATTGTGCACACCCACATTTTGGGCCCAAACTTTCAGGAAAAAAAATCTTTCAATTTTTAATTCAATTATTTATTTATTTATTTATAGAAACTAAATGGATTATTGTATTACAGGGTATTATTTTGCACATGGATATCATTATTGCTTTTTAGAGTTACACTTAAGCATGAATTAAAAGATTAAAAACATTTATATAGATACAAAATTAGAACTACCCATGTGTAATGTGCATCCCTATTTTTCCCTCAAAAACTTGGGCAAAAAAGTACATATTATACACAGCAAAATACAGTATGTTCATTCATACTTGTCCAGGTAAAAATTATGCACTGTCCTCTACTTGATTTTATTATAAACATATATCTTTGAGGTAATTCATAACCAGTGCATGAAGAGCATTATCATTTATTTTTACAACTACATAATATTTTGTTTATTTGAGTATATTGTATGTTACCAGAATTTATTTCAGTTCCCAGCTGAGGGAAATCTAGTTTGCTTCCATTTTTGATGCTTTCATGAATAATATAGTAAATAATCTTGTATACACATATAAATTTTAACACATATAAATGCATTTGTAAACTAATTTTTAAGTGGAATTGCTGAATAAATAATTTTGTGTATTTATAATTTTTATAGCAAGAGTATTGTAATTTCCCTTCATATAGGTCATACCTACTAACTATCCCATCAGGAATTGTGAAAGTGCTTCTTTCATCATTCCCTTGCCAACCACTCTGTTTTAACATTATTTAAAATTTTGGTAATATTATTAATAAAAAATTATCTCAATTTGATTTCAATTACATTATACTTTAAGTGAGAGTGAAAAGCATTTCATAAGAATGAGAATATTTGTATCTCCATTTCTTTGAAATTTTGCTTAACTCTTTGTACATTCACTATTATGTCAGAGGTCAGCAATTCTTTTCTGCAAAGGGCCAGAGACTAAATATTTTAGGTTTTGTGGGTCATACAGCTTCTTTCAAAACTACTCAGTTGTGCCACTGTAGTGTGAAGGCAGCCACAGACAATGCAACAATACATGAGCATGATTATATTCCAATAGAAGTTTACATATGGATTATTTCACTTAGCATAAGCCAGGTGGTGAAAGACAAATACCATATGATCTCACCTATAAGTGGAACCTAATCAACAAAACAAACAAATAAGCAAAATATAATCACAGACACTGAAATAAAGAACAAACTGACAGTAACCAGAGGGGAGGGTAATGGAGCACAGAAGGGGAACCATCATCAAGGAACATGTATAAAGGACCCATG